ATACGTAGGTTTTCAGCGTCGCTAATCACGGATTCGAGGTCAATTTTGCAAAATTCAAGATGACGGATCCAAGGTGGCCGACCAAATTTTAAAAAAATAACACATTCACACACATTAATAACACATATGGGGGTTTTCGGTGTTGCTGATTATGAATTTGAGGTCAGAATTGCGAAATTCATTTCGTAATATTTTTGTTTACTTTATAATCTGAGTACCCAATCATGTTTGAACCTTCTTAAAGTACATAGGTAATTAATTAAATTTTTAAAAACGAATTTTGCAAAATTGACCTCGGATCCGTGATCAGCGACCCGGAAAACCCCCGGATACCAAATTTGTCGCGACCTTAATTTTACTCGTGTCTTACGTTAGAAAAAGAACTACCAATTCTGACCGCGGATTCACGTTCGGCGGGGTCTTAACCATATAAATGAACATTTGAATATAGAAAAAAAAAAGTTGTTTGCTATTTTTGACCTGTTTTTTGAGGTTAGAAAATTCCTGTGATGTAATAACTCAATTCTGACACCGGATTCGTGATCAGGAGGCAAAAATACTATGGATAAAATGGATAACATATGTCCCATGAAAAGTACAGACAACTTTTTTTTTGTGTGGCTGTGTTATTATTCCAAAAACCGATGGATGTTGCGCACTAGGTTTTTACTTAATTTCAAATTCAATGTATTTAATTTTCATTTTTTACCGTAGCAGAAACTAACATTGTTCTATTTATCAATTATATTTGTAATTCTGTTTCCTTAACTTCCTTCGAAATTTTAATTGCACTGTTTCTCCAAAGCTTCGAATAGCTGAGCACTGCAGAAAATTGTACGTAGGTAATTTAATATTTTTAATTATAAACATACAAATGAAAAAGTACAATATTCTTGTCACAGCCTACCAAGAGGCAAGTAAAAATATTCCTTAGAATATTTTATTCCGGCCTACGTCAAATATCTGTCTGAAAGTATAATAATACTCATGTTTGACAAAGTAGAGGCCATTCCAATTCCACGACCTCGATTTTTTATCAAATCTTACGGCCATTTCCAGACGCACCGCAACGTGCTGGTAAGAAATCTCCGACAAATCCGATAAATAATTCAGCGAGGCAAAAAAGTGTAAACGTCTGCTTCCACGACCTCAATTATTATGAGTACAATAAAAAATTTATGGTCAATCGCCAGCAGTTTTTCACCCCCAACAACCGCAGCGTCTACACTGAGAAACTGGTTTGTTTTAAATGAAGAAAATATGCTAAACTGGTTTTCCGCAGTGATTTTATTGTTAATTTTACGTTTATTATTGGACATACTGTGTACGAATTATGTGTTAAAACTATATTTATTTATTTATTTATTTTCGATAAATATCTAACGGGTTAAATGCCCAATTGCAGGATAAGTAGAAAAATGGATAAAATTGCATATAAAATGGGTGTACGGATACCGACAAAAAGGGTTTGTTTGACTCTTCAGAGTTTACTTTACTTCAAAATCATCATATGGCGACATCTGGAGTTCCGCAGTGATCGGTATTTGGGCCTCTCTTATTTATTATATTTATAAATGATATAATTAAAGACATTAAGACACATTATTGAATCATTACAAGATTGTTATCGTTTAAAACAAGAGTTGTCGAAAATAAATATGGTGCCAAAATAATAAGTTGTCATTGAATATATCCAAGTGTAACGTTATGAGTTTTATCAAAAAAAAGTTGCTATTCAGTTTGACTATAGAATATAAATAGTGTTATTTTAAATAGATGCACACAATTTAAAGATCTAGGTGTTATCTTTGATGCAAAATTGACTTTTGTTCCCCATATTGATTATATAATATCTAAGGCCTACAAGAATTTGGGTTTTATTATGACTAGATTTATAACCTGACCATCATTTTATATGTATAATTTTAAATTATTTATAATATTTTATTAAACTATTTTGTGTTAACTTTGTAGTTATGTAATTAAGCTTGTATTTTCGAATCTATTTTTCATGTATTTTGCTTTTATGTAATCGTTTATTGTTTCTCCTGCCCTTTAATTGGATTTCTATCTGTCTGGGCAGCTGTACTTCAAATAAATAAATAAATAAATAAATTACAAGACTCGAAATGTCAGTGTCAAACGTTGATAACTGTGCTTAGTACATTGCGGTGAGTTAACATGGAAATATACACAAATTAACAAGTAAAATATGTGTGTTTACCAGACCTTTCACCCATTGCTTTATTTATGGTCAACATAATCGACCAACCAACGCTTTAGTTGAAAAATTTCAACAAACGGGTTCGTTCTACCTGATCTCAGGGCAAAATCGTAGTTGTAAGCCAAAGCGTAAAAAATGATCCGAACCTCTCTAGTACCGTCATTAGCCAGAACTTGGTCAATTTCCGACAACTATGTGGTGTATTTTGCATTAAGATCTTCATCTAAAGACTTATAGACTACAAGTTATTCAAGAATTGAATTGAAGCCGGCTGATTTACGTTGAACTTTTCAATAAAAAAAAAAACGTTATAAATTACTTGTCTGAATCAACACTTTCTTTGGTCGTTATCAACAGCTGCTATCCTCATTCAAATCTTATCTTTTTAACAAAAATAAATATGTGAAATATAAAGGCTATGGATCATTGGTTATCATACTTAGGTACATCTGGGACTCCACAAAGGTTCAATTTGGGGCCTTTATTATTTTTGTTACACATAAATGATCTAATTTCAGATTTAAGGTACTTCAAGTTGTTATACACAGATAAATTAAAACTCTATTATAATGTATATTGTTATCTGTCGGTTTTTGCAGCACAATATAAATGTACGATATCTGCGTGATGACTATCAAATCACCTTAATCTGGATATTGGTAAATATTATATTATATCCTTTACAAGAAAATATAACTCTTTAAGTAGGTAGTTTGTTTTCCATAAAATGTCTTTCCTCTCACTAAAAATTTTATATGATAACAAATATTAGGGATTATTTTTGCAATGGTAGAGAATTCTCTGATTTTACAAATGTTAAACTTATGTTTGAACGTAGCAAAATAGAACATGGTATCTTGATTTGGTACCGTTACTACCCAACTTAAATTAGTCAGGTGGAGCGTGTGCAAAGAAAATATTAGTACCTGCACTTCAAGGGGTGTGGGGTGTATCCAGAGCATGGCATTGAGTTAGCTTTATTTAATTTTATCTCTCTAAGTACAAGATGTTTTTCTAACAATGGCCTTCTTCTACAATTTGCATAATAATATATTTTGTGAGTATCTCCTTCAGTGTATCATGGTCTAACATTAGTATTCCAACGCCATAGTACTAGTATTTTGAAAAAAATGTACTATGTCAATCATTTGTAACAATTTCAATTTAATCAAGTATCATCTGCGATATTAATTTTTCATCCTAAGTACACTACGTATAATTATTGTAATTTTAGCTTCCTGTTTACTTTGTTATACAGGGTGTCCTAATTTGAATAACGCATTGCAATATGTTCTTAGGGAAGCACTTTCAAGAAAAACTTTTTAGGCAAAAGTTGTAGAGTTCTGAAGGGGATATTCGATAGTGACCTTGATCTTTACTCAAAGGTCAACCGTAGAGATCATTTGAAGGTGAACTTGGATTTTTTAGAATTGAGGAATATGATTCTGACACCAGAAATAGATAGAGCCGAACATTTTATATTCAGGTATGTCTTTATGTTATGTTTATGGGTCAAAGTGACTCTAACAGATTATTTTAATGTCAAATAATGTTATGAATAAGATTATGCGATTTTTTTCTAGAAACCACTTACGATAAAAGATTCTGGTTGAGAGTTATATGGTTTGATGGGATCATACGACCTTGACCATGACCTAGAGGTTGAAGGTTCTTTGAAGGTTACGAAATAGGAGAACTCTGTTTTTAGCCCCATTAAATCGAAACAAGATTGTTATGGGCCAGCTAGTCAGGGCAAGATAGCTTTGACCCGGGTTTATCTAAAAATATTTTGTATTCTGAAGCGAAAATATGATGGAGTGCACAATAAGATCGTGTCAAAAAAATTCCTAGAAATATTCTTTAATCAACCGTTACAAGTTTTGAAAACTGCGTTAATAACGGAAACTTGTTTACGCACTTAATCAAATAAAGTATGTACTAACTTGACTTTGGATCATAGCGATCTTGCCTTGAGTGACTGGATTATAGCGATTTTGCCTTGACTGGCCTGGTCGTAGAGACTTTGTCTTGACTGGACGGGTATAGCGATCCTGCCTTGGCTGGCTAGGCAGTAACGATCTAGCCTTAACTTAATGGGGCTGAAAACAGAGTTCTCCTGTTTTGTAACTTGATTTGACCTTCAAGGAACCTTCAAGCTTGACCTCTAGGTCATTGTCAAGGTCGTCATCGTACGATCTCATTAAACCATAAAACTGTCAGCCAGAATGCTTCGTCATAAATACTTCCCCGTAAAATATTGCAAAATTTTATTCAGAACATTATTTGAGCCTAAAATAACCTGTTAAAGTCAGTTTGACCCATAACATAAAGACATATGAATGTAAAATTTCCCTTCCTATCCATTTGCAGAATTAAAATCATATTCTTCATATCTAAAAATCCAGTCCCTCATAATCCTACAATTTTTGTCTAAAGAGTTTTTCTTGAAAGTGCTTCCCTAAGAAGGTATTGTAATGCGTTATTTAACAGACGTTTCTATAACAGACTACATTTATTTTGCTTTTCTATTAATGGGCATTGTCACCTACTACAGGAAAGAAAACATTTCTGTACACATCAACAAATGTTCGCTAGATTCTTAACCGATACAATCACATATTCATATACGTTCATATCCAGGTTGTGGACTGGCTAGTCCGCCTCAGCAAAACTCTGTTCTTGCAAAGTTTTTAACGTTTTGACTTAATCACTATTTATCTGCCTTCATCGAAAGAAATGATTTACAATACTGACACCCGTTTTTTTTTTGTTTCAGGTATCTTGGATGCGTAAACGCGACCTTCATATCCTCACATCTGGCATACACACGTATACGGGAGACGCACGATTCAGCGTACGCCATCCCGAGCACAGCGACGATTGGGACCTGCGCATCGAGTACGTTCAGAAGCGGGATGCTGGTGTGTACGAGTGTCAGGTCAACACTGAACCCAAAATCAATCTGGCCATCATGCTGAATGTGGACGGTAAGTACAACATTAGCATCTAGCAGGCCAGCGGTTCTCAACATTTTAGTATTCAAATAGTGGTTCTAAAACTCTTTAATCTAAATTACTACGAGAGCTTTACAGACACAATTGCAACGGTCATATAATGTTCCTTTGAGGAGTTTGAGGATGGCTGGGCTAGACTATAGAAAGAGTGACATAGTGACATGCTTTTTTCCTTCACTTAGATACAGCGGAATGACGTTAGAGTGTTTAGTTTGCTTCTAGGCAGCTTTTTAGCATTTTTGTTGAATATTTTATAAAATGCGGCCAAAAATAACTAAAATGTTTTTATTCTAATAAATTTAAAGGCATACATTTATATTTATTTTTTTATAAGGCTTTATTCAAGAGACCGGTTTATATTATTGCACTATGACGTTAGCAGTCAATAATGTGATTAAAATATATACTAAAAGGATACATATAAATTTTGTTGCCACAAAAATAAAGGAAAAATTGTCTCATGAAATGTATACGGAAGAAATGTTTGAAATTTTAAAGTATACAAAATTTATACGGTGGAGGGGGCAGTATATTGCTTTACTACAGAAAAAATATGATAGTAATTTATAATATTTTAAATAAATTAAAATTTAAGTTCATTGGCTACAACAAACAAATAATTTTGAAAAATTTTTGAGTTAGAGCTTGGTTACACTATATCCGGGAAAGTACATTCACTTACCAAATCACTTGAAACTGATCGACAATTGAGTAAAATATAATTCTAAATGAGCTATTAAATAAGGACAATTATTTTTGTTGTCATAGCAAACACGTTCCAGGAAAACGCATTTACTTATGCAACATGATTTTTGTGTTGCCCTTGCAAATATTTTGTTAACAGTAGCTAAAATATTCTACCAAAATCACTTGGATGGCTTACCTTAATAACTACGAAAACACCTAAAAAATATACAAAAAAATACAACCGTAAAACGGTACATGAATAGAGCTATAAATTTTATAAATTTTCAAATGAGTGAATAATTATTCTAATATACAAAAAATTATTACTTAGGCCTTATTAGGCCCCTTGTACACCCCCTTTCATTACTCGAGTTCTTTTCTTCAAACCATCTATTCTCATTACCATTTTATCATTTTATCGGGGACCACACGCAGGCGGAAGGTTTTGATCGACCCAGGTCTCTGGTAGGCTGGCCACAGCCTTATCCCGAGCCTGCCTCAGGTCACCCATCCAAGTTCCAGCCTGCGTCCGTGATGCTTACCTCGGCCGATCGAAATCCATTGGCCAAGACACCCGGCTAGGCGGTGCCCGGAGTGTTGCAAATCGTATTGCAGGATGAAATAATGCGATTCCTCAGTTCTTCAACAGTATTAACTGGAATAGTGCAAACTAAACTTCCTAAGTGACCCCAAAGAAAAAAATCCAAAACTTTAAATCTGGATTTTTTTTATCATGTTGCCGCTTTCATGTTTTCCATCATGACACGCCATTTCCTTTGAATACGGTTCGCGTTAGAGCTTTTCTTGATGGATACCTTTTTTGTGTAGAAAATATTGGCGGTTTAAAATATGCTTTCAAAATTCCAATTTTCCCGGGGATGTAAAGATTAGGAGAAAAAGAACCTCACGCTATCCTAAAATTTGCGCCACTGTCATATAAATTAAAATTGAATTAGCGCTGAAAAGTAGCTATTATTAATGATAATACGTGTACAAAATTTAAGTTTCGTATCTCAAACGGTTCCTGAGACATCGTCAAAAAAACTGAAACATTTTTTTTTCACCCTATATCTCGTAAACAGTGCTTTTGCGAACCCATGTTAATAATATTTTTTTTTCTTAAAATAAGCCAAAGAATCACACCCTTCATTTTCCCCAACTATTTTCGAAACACCCTGTATAAAAAGACAGCATAATTTTAAAAATATTCTTTGAAGTAATTATTAAGAATATAAGTTCTTTATTTGTTGAATTAAACAGAAAAATATACAGGGTGGTCCGAATTTTATGCAGAAAACTTTGAGGGCAGATAGATCTCTTTAAAATAGTAGGTGTTTGCCTTATAGTCTAGAACGGGCATCGTTTTAGGGGCAACAGGGTGTTGAAGTTGTAAAAAAAATTGAATTTTTATTTATATCTCCGGAATCAATGAAATTTGGTACAGTAATGTATGATAGTAGGCCTTGCATTCCCTAAAATATGAACTCTAAAGTTTCAACCAGTGGTATATAACTGGACAGGGGTCACCCTTATATATAAAAAAACCTACGCCACTGTATTATTTACATGTTATTGTAACGGATTTATATTCTAATGTAGTAAATACTTAAAAAAGGTAACCTGAATTTTTTCCCTAAGATTCACCGTTCTCAAGTTATTCATACAAATACAATCCCCTTGTGGCAGACACTTCAAACCATAATATTACAAGAATATTTATGTTTATGCTTAAAAGTAGTAGTAGTAGTAGTAAAGGAGCGGCCTCAGCCTGGCAATTAGGCCACAAGTGGGCCCTTTTTGCCTACCCCGTCGTCCCATCACCTAACCACTCTCTGCCTCTGACCCTCCTCGAACCTACCCGACGCCCTAATGAACGCCAGGATTTTGGTCCATGGAAGGTCCCTCACCTCAACCCCTTGCAGCTCTTCAGCACTAAAGACTTTATGTCTTATTCTCCCAAAGGCTGCACACTGTCCCAGAATGTGGACAGGGGTGTCCTCCCCTTCGCCACATTTCGGGCATAGAGGGCAATTCCCATTAAGCTTAAATGCCTCCTAAGTCTGCAGTGGCCTGTCAGAAAACCCTGCTTAAAAGTAAGTGCAATTTGTAAGCAGATCAACAAAATTCTGTCCACATCACCTGGTAGTGTTCCTAGTGTATTTTAGTTTCCCCTGGAGGCCTAATCCACCATCTTTACAAATAAGAACAATTTGAATCAAAATAATAATAAAAATACATTTACCAAATAAGAACCAAAAAACAAAATAAACGTTAAGTATTTACAACAACTGTTCAAAATGCGAACCATCCACATCCGTACATTCTATTAATGGAACTACCTAATTGAAGCTAAGATCATGTGGTGGTTTTCATTTAATTCATTATACCCGTCTTCTATTCTCTAAAGTAGTTGTGGTCTTGTATCTATTGGAGTAGAGTAAACTTTACTTTTCAGATAGGTAACCCCAAAGATAGAAGTCCAAGGGGTTTAGTTCTGGCGATCTGGCTGGCCAAGACACTGGACCCTCTGCACCATTATGATTGACATTGACATTTGATCTTCAACCTATCCATCGCCCCATATAATTTTCATTAAGCCATTCTTGTATTATTCTCATAAAATTCGCACCATCCATTTATATCCAGTTATTTTGTGGGATATTTAATGGAACATCCTCTGATAATTCAAATAGGTGATTTTCTAGAAAGTTGATGACTGGAAATTTAGATGGGGTGGCATGAAGAAAGGTCCGAATTATTCAGGGTCCACTTTCACAGAAAATTCGTGTTGAAAAGATCTTGTCCGTATTTCATGAGGATTTTCTGGTGACCAAATATTGTGAAAAGTCACTACCCCTCGCCTTGTGAACGGGGTCATCAGTGCAAAATATTTCTAGTAAGATTTCTGGATATGTTGTGACTTTAACAACCACTAACAAAAATTCAGGCGTCTCTCTGCATCTCCCGGAAGTAAATTTTGCACAGGTTGTAAATGGTACGGATTTCTACCATCCTTCTGTAAAACTTTTCAAATTTTCGATTTACTAACCCCAAGTTGCCGAGATGTTCTTCATGTACTTAGCCGAAGATCGTCGTCAAATGCTCTTAAAATTTAATTTCTGTGCCTTTCATTGCGTCGTCGTGATTTTCCAAATATTGTTTTAACCCAAAAAGATGAAAGCGATGAAATGTGTAAAAAATTTTGTTGACGTGCTTACAAATTGCACTTGCTTTTATAAGCATAAATATAAATATTCTTGTAATATTATGGTTAGAAGTGTCTGCTACAAGGGGATTGTATTGTTATGAATAACTTGAGAACGGTGAACTTTCGGGAAAAAAATTCAAGTTACCTTTTTTATGTATTTTGTGCATTAGAATATAAATCCGATACAACAGCTTGTAAAAAATACAGTGGCGTAGGTTTTTTTATAAAAAAAGGGGGTGACCCTGTCCAGTTGTACATCACTGGTTGAACCTTTATAGTTCATATTTTAGGGAATACAAGGCCTACTATTATGTATTATCTGTTCTAAATTTTATTGAGATCGGTTGATAGATTCCGGAGATATAAACAAATTTAACACCCTGTATCTCTAAAACGAGGCCTGTCCAGACCTATGTTTATAAGGCAAACACCTAATATTTTAAAGAGATCTATCTGCCCTCGAAGTTTCCTGCATAAAATTCTGACCACTCTGTATAAATGGAATTTTCGATTGCGTTGTAATGTCTGGTAATTTAATATAATTAAAACGAAAACGATTTTTCGGGTTACAGGCAACTTAAAAACATTTCTAAAAATAAATGAGGACAATTTAAGGATGATATGGGAAAGTAACTTCTCTGCTTTAATACAGTTGCGTATTAAAATATAGAACACATTGCTCTTCGCGATGAAAGACGCAGAAATTTATACTCCGGAATATCGTTGGCTGTTCTTGTGGGAGAAAATTCCACAGCAATTACTAAAATTATAGATTATAAGAATATTTGTCGCCACGGTAGCGTAGTCGGTCGAGAGTGAGGTGGCAAGCCTTTCTCGGTAAGACTTCCTATTCTGGTCCGGTTTCGATCCCTGGCATCGCCACTGGCAATGTCGATGGATAATGGGTGTTTGTCCACGTTTTTTCAAGTGTAGCCCCCTTCTGCACAGCCTTTGGCTTTGGATTTGGGGGTTGTCTCATTTCTGTGGTGTGTTTTATGTTTAATATCGTTAAATTGAGATCATCGGACTACTAATACATACAAGTTTGCAGCGTAAAAACGCTGAATATAACAATTTG